ATTACATACTTAGTAATAAAATAAAGAATGCATTAAGTTGAGAAGAAAATAAGTAAATAATATGCATGGACTTCTTACATACGAGGGGTGTTAGAAAAGTTCGCGGACAAGTTCTTTTGTGAGCGCGCTATTTCCACGAAACCGGTCAAACTTTCTAAATAAAATCTTAACCTTTTTTGCAATAAATATACAAGAATTTGGTGCTCGCCGCTGATCATTAAAAAATATACAGCTTTTTTATTTTGATAAAACTTGCTTCACGGAGCATGCTACATTTTACATCACAAATCCTCTTTATTAAAATTAAAAATTGCACAATTGTAGCGCAAAGATATTTATGATATTTTACCTGCCGCTAAAGTATTCATGAAACATCACTTGGGGAAAATTTGAACTAAATTGGAGGGTATATGACTGTTTTATAGCCGTTTATAAATGATCAACGCGTAAAAACACAGCCAAAAATTGGAACGTCATTGAGTGTCATGGAGCACTGCGCTACGTAAAAATTATGTGTGCAGACAGAAAATTGTCTAAAAAGAGATTAAAATGTTCAAGATGCTGCCGGAAATTTCCTACACATGCAAAGGACAAAAGTTTTCAAATGTTGTAGCTTTATAAGAATGGAAGGATTAACATTTTTAATGATTAACTCCATCGATACTTCAATACTCCCTTATCGCATGAACGTTGCGTTGCGCCTATATGGTTTTGCATAGTTTCCATACCTGATCGACTAACTGTATAGACATTTTTAAGATCTGAGTAATATCCGAATCGGTACAAAAGACATTATAGTAGAAAAGTAACATGTCTTGATATAGATATTTAATTTTAAAGTTCAAGAAAAGATAGAAAAAATCTGAAGAACTGAAAGATTTATAGAACTTCGACAAAGCTTAATATGTTGAAATCTGGTAGTCACGTCACCTTACGTCAAGTGATTGCTCCGTGGATCCCATGACTTCGTAGTAAAAATCGTTGTAAATTTTCAAGATTTTAGTATATGGACCTGATTTTTTGCATACCAATAAACAATATGTAGGAATTTATTCAGACATAGGTCATACTTCACAGTACACAATATATTTTCCGTAATTCAATGTGTCCGCGAACTTTGCTAACAACCCTCGTACATGTACATGGTCTATTGTCTCATACGATTTGGGTTTGTTTCAACTTCTATTTCAATGCACTCGATTCGTAATTTGAAAATAATCCATTACAATTACATGTATTTGTAAATTAAGATTAACCTTATTTTCAAAAAGTTAAAATTAAGAGAATATGAACCCACCAAAAATTGTGTATGATCACAAGTACTGTTTTTGTGGTTTAATTTACGAAGGGTGTGATGTTGACGTCACAATAGCCGTATCAGCCCTGTAGGGCTGATATGGATTTGTAGGACTGATATAGGGTATCAGCCCCGCAAATCCATATCAGCCCTGTAAGGCTGATACGGCTATTGTGACGTCAACCATATCGCATATGCAAAAAACCTGTATTTATTACTAAGTGTGTAATAAAGTCTGTTAAAAAGCCCTTCAAGGCTTTAACGTTTGATGATGTTACAATGTTAAACTTTATATAATATATCATGCCGATTCAATATCTAAAAAATATTTTCAGAAATTACAAAATGATATAGTATTACTAGTATTTCCACGATCAAATCATTAAGTTTTTATGCGTAATGGTAAATTATTCCCGTTTTTAAAAAAGGCTAAATAAATATTTTTTAAAATTTTTCCCAATGGAATTTTGATTGCTTGTGTCGTTCAAACGAGGATTGAAAATGCAGACAAAGTTGTTTAATTTCAAATCAGAATGTACGGTTTTTCTTTTCTAATGACCAAGACAAATAAATTACCCGTTTAACATATTCCTTCCTACATAATATTTTTCAGCATAACATAAAATGATTGTATCCTGTTACAAAAGGGCAAAATGGCGCTAAACTCAGAATGATGACGTAACATCATAATCAGTTTTACTTGTGATGAAATGATAACGGTAGGCCCAAAATAGGCCCTTGGCACTTAACGTAGTTTTTGAAGATAGGCCCAAAATAGGCCCGCGGCACGAGGAATGTTCATTAAATAAGTTCTTTTTTGCAACAATTAAATTTTGTGAAGTTATAAAGGTTTTTGACTGAATAATTGTAGAACAGAGAGATAGAAGAGATTTAAACAACATTTCTCCGATCTTCTATCTCGGGGGAATAAAAGTACTAATAGTGCTTCACAATTGCGATAGAATAAGTGACAAAATACACCTTTCCTTATCATTATAGATGCAGCGGTTTAATGGAAATATTGAAAGTATCCTGCACTTTTCCTCAACAAATCATCATCTTATATGTAATGTCAATTTTCCAACGTCTTATAATATTCAGTAATTTTCTCCTACTTTCAGATCAAACGTATTTAAAAAGTACATGCGAACCTCTCTAAAGTAACTTACGACGTAATTAAGAATAGTCTTCATCGGATTTCATGACTGTTCAGTACATAGGAAAGGCTTGAATTGACATTAGCAACAAGCAGTCTCATGTCCACTAATCGAGGAATAAAAGGGATGTTCGATTAAATTAAATTGTATTTTGTCACAAGTTTGGATTTTTTAAAGTAAGATAAGAAAAAGAAGTTTGATGATTTTGAAAAGTTTAAATAAAACATCTCAAACTAGAGGATCAATATTCTACGTGGAAAAATGACACTAAGCCCACATTCTACGGGGCCACTTCTCGTCGTTCACCGCCATTTTTTCAAATATAAAAAGCGTAATAAAGAACTAATCAAACAGGGTCTAAGAATTTTTCAGAAATCTAAGAATACATGTACCAAGCAAAATTTGAATCTACTAGAACTCAACTTATTTTCGTTCAAAAAGCAATTTTTGAATTTTCACAAAATGTTCGATTGCCTTCCACCCCTTTAATTTGTTGCAGTATTGTCAAATAATATAAGAGAATATGATACTGAAAGAAGTTGGAACCCTACCCCCAATCCTCCTTCTTTTGGCTTGACAAGTTTCTTTAGGTTAGTATTTCTTTCTCAGGCTTCGGGACTTAATTTGAGTGTGTTTTATCTCGGACAGCCCCCCTCCACTTTCAATATAAAAATATGTCTGGAAAAAAGTTGGGGCAGACCCTCATGTCCCCCAGGTTAGCTTTGTGCGTGAAAACAAACAGTGCTCACCATTTAAATGAGGATTTCTTTCTAATTCTACATGTGCCTTTCTGAAACGCCAAGACATGTTTTCCAGGAGACTGGAAAATATAACAACCAAATCACATTAACATTTGTAAAATTATTACCTTTTTAATATATTTTCCCAATTTTTAGGCGTATTTATATAAAAAAAAAACATTAACCATATTGTACCGCAATTAGTGTTTACTTATTTAAAAAAACGTAATTTTGTGATTTTTTTTCTTTTTCTTACATTTTCCTTGAATCAGAATTAAGATATGTCAATTGATACATAGTGGTACTGAATCAAAGCTTTGTGGGACTTAAAAATGCCTCAAGTTTAATCAATTCCGTATAAATTACCCTCACTCTTTCATGTCCATTCTTTCAACAAAAGACACCTGTTTATTAATTATCTAAACATATACACATACAGTAATTATTTCTACAAAACTTTTCCTTATTTTTCATATTTCCATGCTAAAATTTTTCATTTCCTTTAGGTGCATCTTTAAGCATTATTTAAAAAAAAAACAGGAGTTAGTCTTTAAAAATAAAAGGTTTTAAGGTCAAGATCAACAGGTTGTCTCCAGGAAAAAACTTCTTCAGACCAAAATTTTTTTTATGTTTTCTAGGCGTTTTAGACCCTTTTAAGGCATTTTAGGACCCCTTTTTGAAAAAAAAATTTTTTTAGGGGTCGGGGGCCAAATTCTCCGATTCTCCGAAAATTCTCCGAAATTCTCCGAAAGTACGCGCTTATAACTTTATAACCAGTGATCAAATTTTATTTTTTTTGGTGTCAAAATAAAGGTACAAGTATGTAGTTTTTGTGTGCAAAATTTCAGAAAATTTGATTAACAATTAATACCTTTTCTCCATCATTCTCCAACCCCACCCCCTTATTTTCTTTTTTGAAATTGACTTTATTTACCCCATAACATTCACAAATATTTATCTACACTCATTTTTTTACGTATTCTTGTAAAACTTTTCCAGCCTAAAAGAATGATATCAAGTTTGAAAAAATCGACCCATAAATAAGGGAGTTATGGGCGCCGGAAGTTGGGATTTTCGAAAAAATGGCGACCGGCACGAAGTTTTCAGATTTTTTTCTCTAGAAAATAGCCATAACTTTTTTATTTATTAAGATATATTTATAAATTTGGTGTCAAAATGTAGGTAAATTATTGCTCTCAAAAAATGAATAAAAATAATTATATATTTCAAACCGGAAGTATGGATTCTCCATCATTCTCCATCCCAACCCCCTTCCGGTTTTTAATTTTATTAACTTCTAACGATAATATCTCTAGCCTGTTTCCCTGGCCTTCCCACAATGCTGCGCAAACGAAGGCCAGGCACGCACTGATTCATGGTTTCCTACTATAGGAGAGTTTTCAACATGGCGGATTACATGGTGAGTAACGTGGGTTCAGATAAATTGGTCTATTACAGAGAATCTAGCTGTATCATTTGGGATTAATGTTTACCATTGATATGATACGGGTCTCCCATGATATTATATGCCCTCATTTCATGCATTATACAATTGATCGTAATTATCTACACCCGTGAAGCGGAAGGAGGGGGTGGTCCTTTGTATTATAGAATAAACAACCGAATGTAGAGTGATAGAACTATTAAAATTCATAAAGTAACGAAACAACACTTTGTTAACATATTATGAAAATGTATGTATCCTGTTATGGTGTATTTCAGTCGTGAGACTCCCACAACTCGAATTTCCTCGGAGTTTTTACAGCATTTCAACCAGAATTAAATTATTTCCTGGTTAATATTTCAGGGAAAGATTTTCCACACTTACAGTAAGCCTGATAAGAGACTGTCTGAGGTAATATGTCTTATGATTCGTTTATTATAATCTAAGAGCAGAGTATGAAATATTATGATACCCAATTTATTCAGAATGAAACATATCCTACTTTACTTTAATTAGTGGTAGAACATGTGCATATTTGAACAGTATGTAAGTTCAAAATGAAGTAATCTCTATATCTTGGATATTGATAAACTGGTTTATTAAATATTTATTTACAGACTGTCAGTGCTGAGGAAAAGTGTCCATCTTTTTATCATAATCATATCCCGAATATCCATTCCTATGCCAAGTCAGAAACACAAGTATGCATAATCAAGCATCAAGAATTCATATAGAAAATGATACTTTTGTTTATAATATTATAGTGGTATATAATATCAATGTGAAATAACCATGATGCATACCCATGATTAAAACCTTTCTGTTTCTCTCACAATTAAAACTTGCTAGATTGTATTTATAGATGGTGACAACTCCCAAAAAAAATATTCCTAAAAGGCCAAGGGGAACCCCAACAGGAGCCACACCAAAACAAAGTGACAAAAAACAGGTGGGTTTTTTTTTTTTTTTTTTTTTTTTTTTGTCTTTTTGACACATATGTACCCATAACAGTATGACAAAGGTTGATATAAAAATAGGCCTATAGAACAAGGATAATTTTTTGACAGTCTTGAACTTTTTCTTATGGTATTGAACTACTGCATGTAGGTCTATAAAATGCTGGTTTTCAATTTAAAATTTGCTGGTACTGATTATTTTACTGAAATCAATTGGGAATTTTTCATATGAATTCTCTCTTCGTGTCACCTTTCTTAAATACATGTACACTAAATTATACCTAATTTTTATCTACTTTATGTTTTAAATCGGTAATTACTAAACATATTTAAAAAATGATATTTTAGATTTTATTGTTGTCAATGTTGTCTATAAGTTATACAAAATAATCATTTCTCGATTCAAAAAATCCATTTGAAAGGCTATGATAACATGAAGTGCAATGATCATTTATTATTTAGAATCTTGGATCAAGATGGTCTGATGAGGAAAAGCAATTTTTAATAAATTACTTAGAAGTTAATCCACCTGTCGACACTCAGTGCATATCAAACAACTACTGGAAGGAGTGTGCGGCTTCAATGAGTGAAGAGTTGAAAACCTCACGAACTAGTAAATATACCGTTTAATCCCTATCTTTAAGCGCCCCCCTTAGGTCTTTTTCAATTTACAGGAAATAAGGGCCCCCTGTACAGTGATTTAAAATCAACTATAATCGTGTCAAAATATTAAAGAAAGTGAAAATGAAACTTGTCTATTATCCAATTTCTCATTAGAAAATAAATGATTTAGCATAATTTGGGTGGATTATCTTCACTTGAAGTAAAGTTAGACATTATATCTGTGGTTCCTTGTACTGATTTTTTTATCCAAAAAATTTTTGAAGTTAAATTATAAAATATGACAATAAATATCATAAAGAGAATACCAAAATAACCGCTCCTTTTTGCAATATTTTCAAAGTGCCCGGGGCGGTTAATAGGGATTATATGTGTATTTTGAATATTATGTGTTTTTGATAGAAGCTTAATGCCTAAATAGTTTTCATCCAGTAATCCACATAACAAGCCAATGAATAATAAAGAAATTGTATATAATCTTATAAACTTAGCATTTTAGAAATTAATACACATGTATAATGATAGATAACTTACACTTTTTTAAATAAGGTTACTCTTGCCGTTACTATTATAATCGGAATATGAAGACCACACAGGAGCCATCCTATTGCAGTACAGATCCTGATGTAATGGAAATTGATAAATTATATCCTGTCAGTGTGATACAAAATCCTAAAGAAGATTCCAGTTTCCAGACTGATATTTCTCTGCCACCTAAATGGTTTGCATTAATGATATTTGTATTGAATAATACATTCTACCACAATTTGTACTGGTAACTATTTCAATGTCTGACAGAAAGATATAAAAACTTACAGATTTTTTTTTTCTAGAATAGTAGTGTAGTGTAGTATCATGCTAACGATTGGTTTTAAAATCTTCAGTTTTGAATCATGTCTTGGTTCTCATTGACGATTGTCTTGAAAGGCAATTAGTTTATTCAGTGCAGCATTTCATTCATAGTGCCTCATCAACATATGATTAAAGAAAAACCTGAGTAGCTTAATGGTAAAGCACTCATGGAAACATGAGAGATTTGGGTTCAAGTCCCAACCTGGGTTAACCTGGTAATGAAGTTGATGAGGTTCATGAATGTGGAAGCTTTTATATGAAGGCAAATAACAGAAGTATTGGGGGATTTACACTTAAAAAAAAAGGAATTATAAAAATAAAGTATAATAGGAAAAAAGAATAGAGAGAATATATATCTTCTTTCAATTGAATGAGAATAAATGTTCATTTATAGTTTCATTTTTTTTTGGCAACAGTATGAAAATGGACGACTACAATGAAACACTGATCATTGAGGACAAAGATACTGCAACATCTGCCTTGAAAACTCGAGGATGCAGGAGGCTCACCTCCAATGATGTAGCAAAAGACTTACTAAAGGACAAAGATCTAAAGAAATCTCTATGGGATTTGTTTTTGCTGGAAATAGAGGAAGATGCGAGGGTTCTAACTGAAAGGAAGTTGAGTTATCTAAGTAATACTTCCTATGAAGGTTTGGCTGAGTTTGAGTGGTTTGGTGTCTTGAAAGAAATGTTGCAATACCAGCCATTATTAACAGATGTCCTGTTAGCTGTGTCAACAAGTAGAAAAAACATTCTGAGTGAAGAACACTACAGTAGTATTTCCAATGAATTAGGTCTGATATATGGAATTTTGATGAAGCGACGATACAAGGACCTTTCTCGCATTCAACGGTTTATTGCAATGTCACTTGCAAATGAAAAGGTTCACCAGAAGGCAAGTTAATTTATACAATCCTTTTATTGCTCTATTTGTGTTCTTGGATTTTTTTTCTTAAGTCAGCTTATACTGGGATAATCCACAAGTGATATTTTATAATCATTCAACAGATTAAAGTAAAGCACATTTACATTGAAAATTCTAAAAAAAAATTCTTTTATCTTTGTCGTGGATCTCTAATCAGAAGAAGCTGATTTGTTTTATTTTGCAGGTTGTTGATTGAATAATAACATATATACTAATTGTAACTCATGATACCATGACATGTGCATATGTGATCAATAAAACCATATGCCATTTTATGGGAAGCTTGAGTTTTCTATTTTTCTTCAAACCATTGAACATTTATTGTTGCTGAAAATACTAATAACAAGACAGATCGAGGTAAGATTTTTTTTCATATGAGTTCCTGTATGAAACAGTCTGAGTGGCTAAATGGTAAAGGCATGGTTCCTCTTCCAGAAATCTTTAACTTAAGCATTCCTGCTCCTGTGTAAAATATGTATGAAAATTTGTGCAGTTTTAGTGTCTATGTCTAAGACATGCAGAACTCATATACATGTAGTTTATTTTGTACAGGTTTTATGTCTTAGCTGTGCCCAAGCCATCCTTAGTCTAACGCAAATTTTATTCCATTTTATTTTCTTTAATGAATTTTTTTTCCCTAAAATAATATTATGTCATCGACATTTCAATGACCAGAGGTAAAAACTAAAAATTGAAGAGAGAACATTTCCCAAGCTTGAAAAAAATATCAGAATTTATCAAAACTACATTGCATTGAAACATAGCATGTACACGTATTGCAGAAAATTACTGAAGATGTGTTTTCCCTGGTTGAGAATGAAAAAAATTGTTTATTCTATTTAACAGGTATATGACAGGCTTCAAGCCATTGGTGTTACTGTGTCACATAGCACTGTGCTGAAGGTTCAGCAGCAGATTGGAGGGAAGTTCAATGCTGATCTCATTGATGCAGTTAGATCTGGAAGGAGGTTCCGCATTGTAGGCGACAATGTAAATTTCAAAGTTGGAGTGAGTCGGCAAAGGCAAGACAAAGTTGGACATATGCAACATTGGTTTGGGTCTGCAGCAATCATTCAACATACAAATTTCAACAATTTACCCATACAACGTCCACAGACACCACTTTTGCAGATGCCACCCAGCTTATTTCTTCCCAGTCAAGAAGATATGACCATCATCAAAAAAGACTGTATTGTTCTTGTTCTGGAAATTATTGTTGAGCATATTAGTGCTTTCAAGTGTTTCAAGCCTCTGCTGCAAGATATGAAAGGAAAACTTCAGTCCCCTGATGTATTTGATACAACCAAAACAAATGCAGTGATACCTTTGCCACTTTTATGCAAAAATGAACAGAAATATGCAGAGGTTGTTGATGTTTTGGACAGTTATGAACAGTTAATTGAAGACATTTATACCAAAGCTGGCATCCAAGTGAATGACTCTACTAAGATTCATATAGGTGGTGACCAGCTGACCAGGGAGCGTTTTTCCGGTGCAAAACGTTTAAGATCCACAGCACTTAATAGCAAAGAAAAATTCGAACATTTGACACCAATAACATTTGAATTTTTTCATCTGCAGATGAACTTCCTGACTATTATGTTTAATCTTCTGTATAACAAGGACAGCACGGAAGCAGGCACATTACATGCAGAGAAAATCAAATTGCGGCGTTCACAGGTTTCCGAGGATGTGAAGAATCACTATGATGCATGCAAAGAACTTGCTATTTCAGTCATAAATGGCCATGTGACAGCTGCAGTATTGAAGCATTTTGGAATGGATAGTGTGGGCTCATCTTTACCGGAAGCATTTAATGAGATAATTTTTTCCACCATCACATGTGAGCAGAATCAAACTATTATTGAAAGAGAACTGGGTGAGTTTGTGGAGAAATTCATTTTGAAAAATGCCAAGTCTCTGCATCAGGTAATCCAACCAAGTGAACCCAAATCTTACTACAAAGTTATGTGTCTTTCAACAGAGGGAAAGCCATTGACACTTTTTATTCCTCTTCTATCAGAGAACACAACAGATAAAAATGCACCTGATCAAAGAGACAGTGTGTACGAGTATGCACACCTACTGTTAGAGATGGGGTTTGCATTCAAGTGTCTACTGATGAATGTAAACATTCCAAACAGAACACGAATGCTACCCTGTCTCAAATATCTCATGTGCATATTAAAGGCAAATAATAATCATTCAAAGTATGCCCTTGAAATTTTGAGACTTTTGGCTCTGCAGCAATCACTTCTGGATGAAAAGTCTGCCTATGAGACATTTTATGGACTATTTGTCAATACGCAAGGGAAATTAGACTCATCATTTGGTTGTGACCTTCAAATGGAACATATAGTGCGACTTACAAAAGAACATATCAAATCTGTCCACTCTAACAAAACTGAAAAAACTCTTATCAAGAGAACAGCAGCATTTGCAGGGATGGACAAGATTGCCTGCCAGTTTGATATGACTTCCAACTGTCTCATAAGGTCACAGAGGCATAGAATCCCTTCTGCAAAGGAAGATGAAAGTTCTATCATTGCAGGTCTTTTGCGTATTAAACCCTTTGACTATTGTCAAGGTCGGAAAATGGCTTCATACCCAAAATCAGTGAAGAGTTCATTAAAAAACATCAACATAGATCACATTAAAGCATGGATACAGCACCATAAGAGCAATTTTCTGTATGAAATTGGACAGTAAAGGTAAATATTATCATTAAGCCACTTACAAGTTGTTATTGTAGTGCACTGTGATCTAGCCATTATACATGTACACATTTTAGACTAGACATATTAAACAAGAACATATGAACCAACAAAAGAAGCACATTATTAAAATTCTGAAAGGTCCTATTATTTTTGTAAAGCATATTATACATGTTATACATATGTACAGGCCTCAAAAAAATATCCTCATATCGGTATTTTAAAAATGCATGTTCTTATCCTTGAGTAATTTACTAGGTACAATCCCAAATATGTTATATACATTTATTACTGTAACAAAGATTTTTTAAAAGAAGCAAATAACAATATGAAATTAATGATTGTTAAAGTATGTAAATGTTTGCATAACATTGCATAATTTTATAATCAATATTGTTTTAAAAGTAATTATCATGACATGAGAGTATTTCATAAGCCAAGTTCCCTCTTTCTCTTTTGGATACAAGCTCGTTTGGAACATTAATTTAGTGCCAGGAACCAGATCATAATCCCAATTATTAAAAAAATTAAAAATGCAATAATTCTGTCAAAATTTAATGATGTCGAATTCAATTCAAACTTGACCTGTAAATCATCAAGGTACACTTACATATAAAAAATCAGCTTAATATTTACAAGTGTTTAGAAAAAAAGTGATAAATCAAGAAGGACAGACTGACTGAGAGAGGGACAGAAGGACCGGCGGACAGATGGACAGACTCAGAGGAAGCCTACATCCCCTCTGGTTTCACCAGTAGAGGACTAATAAACCAGTCCAGATTAGATAAAATTTAAAGGTATTAAGTCAAATATATAACTTAATCATGTCAATATCAAAGGATTGATTGGCATTTGCCATGGTGTAACGCTGTTTAATGAAATTGCTCTAACATTTGGCATATGATTGTTGCTAAAGTAGCAGATAACATACAAGGATATGTAAAATCTTTTTCAATGGCACTTGAATCCGTGTAGAAAAGTGCATTAAAAACAAGCTTCTCCACGTGAGCGGGCAATACAACCTTTTCTAACTTTGACGCCTGTACATATGTTTGTATGGCTTGTCTTAAAACACATTTTTTCCTCTCATCCATGGGTGTCTCGTAATGCCATTCACTTTTAAGTTCTTCATTACAGACATCACAACATAAAGGTCTTTCAGTGGCCATGCTGTCATTGCAAGTAAAGCCGAAATAGGCATTTATAACAGTTTTACGACATTCAGAGTCATTTTTACAAAAATCCTTCACAGATTTACTAACACCTTGGCGTCCTAAATCAGAATTATTGAAGAATATCACTGCAATACATTGCTTCCCATTTCTGCCAGCTCGGCCAACTTGCTGTATATAGGCTGTTAAGTTTATACAAAAATCTTATTTTAAAATTCATTTATGCATGATTGAAACAATTCACATAAATTCAATGTTTATAAATTTGTAATAATAATGTAATACATGTATATAATGCATTGAATTCTATATGTAGCTCTCCCAATATGTTGTTGGAAACTGATCAAGAATATTTTGTTGTTTAAATGTATTGAAACAAAATTTAACATTTCTGAGGATTTTGACTAATTCATGGGACATCCAACATGCTTGATTCGTTATATTACATTATTATCAATATTATTGTTTACCTTCCATATTCATTGGTGATCCAACATGTATGACTCGCTCTACATGTTGAAGATCTGCCCCCATTCCCAAGGCTATTGTAGCAAACACTAATTTTAGTGGAGACTCACAAGGAGGCTTAGAAAGGTTTTTAAAGATAATATCTTTAAGCTACAAAAAATAAAATTGTAACTGTACATCATTTTGTGTTGATTCTTTTAGAATCAAAATTTGCAAAGTTACTGTCGAAAATTTAGAAAAAATAAATTATCTAAAGAAATATTCACACATTCAATACTACGAGTGTAAATACATGCCTTGTCCCCTTTTTCAATGGATGAGTGGTACATAACCACACGCTGATTCTCAGGACTTTTATTACCAACATGCATGTCGGTACCAAGAATTTTTGAAGAAACTTCAAAACCATATCCCACCCAATCCATGCTTCCACTACAATACACAATTGTCAGTGGAAACTTCTGACCCTTCAATTTCAACTCATTCAATAATGGCAGGAAAACATAGTCATATGTGTCCTTTGAAGAAATGTTCGAACCTAGTGGGGGTCTTCGCATGACAACTAATGAGATGTTTTCACGGGTAGGCTGGGATGCGACCACTTTCATATTTCTCATTAAAAGTACTTTGGCAACATCCCTTTGAGCTGTCTGTGATAATGTAGCGCTGAGGGCAACAAGTTTAGCGTCTGGCAACACAGCTCGCAACTCTCTAATTCTGCTGAACATAGGTCTATACTCCTCCCCCCAGTCAAGAACACAATGTGCTTCATCGACAACTATAACGCATTTCCTACTTTGACAGGAATCCGAAGAAAGCACATTATTTATTTCTTTGTTGCCAATGATATGTTCAGGGTGAGAATAAATGTATTGAACACTATTTTCCGTTAATTTCTTTAAATCTGACTCCTTCATATTTTCACAAATAGACATCGCACTTGAACCAAGTTTTGAAAGCTGTTGCTCAATAATAACGTTTAAAGGTTCTAAAACTAACATAACAGTATTTTGATCAAACTTCTTTTCAAGCACAAGAGGAACAAGTTCATATATCAAACTTTTCCCATAACCTGTGGGTAGCATGCATATTAGATCACCACTTTTAGAGTTCCTATCAACAATGCAAGATAAAGCTTGATGCTGCAAGGGTTTCAAATTCTTTATGGCACTTCCGTATTTAGAATTGTAAAAATCTATAATATCACAAACTTCTCCATCACTGATTATTTCCTATAAAAATAGAGAATCAGTAAAGTATGGATGATAATGTTTTTTTTTTATTCCTTCATTCACATTCTTAATAATCACGATAATTATGGACTTAATTAATATGAACATAAAACTAATGAACTAAGGAGGTATGTTTAGATGAAAAAATTAATTGCACAACAGTGATCTCTGGTCAGACTTGAACTGACATCTGCATACAAACTATTTTGTATGCCGCACTACATTGTGCTACAAAGATTGTTACATAAGTGCATTTAATTTTTTCTTTCCATTAATTCTTATAATATGTGTAGGATCTTCAAAATAAATCAACTGTTTGTCAACAATATGGTTAATCATATGAAATTACACAGTCCATATAATTACCATGATTACTAATGATTAAATGTATATACATAATTAAATGCTCATTATATATATGCATATGAAATTATAAGTGAATAATTTTTGTACACAATGTAAAACATTATATGTACATGTAGCTAGAATCATGAATTTATTGCTATTCAGTATTCTTCATAATGATTAATGAATGACCATTGATTTGATATCAACCCCAGCCCTTGGAGTCAGCGTACATTTCATTCAGATACAATAGAATAATGGAAATCGCCATTTCTTGCTTCTGTGTAAGATTATCATGGTTCATGAAAAAAATACTTGTTAAGCAGGTGACAGTAAGGAATAGGACGGAGACAACTTTTTGTAACCTACAGCTTACCTAGTTCAATGACAAGTATGAAAAAACCCCGAGGAAATTCGAGTTGTGGGAGTCTCATAGCTGAAGTGAAACATAAAAAGGATAAATACATTTTCATAATATGTTAACAAAGTGTTGTTTCGTTACTTTATGAATTTTAATAGTTCTATCACTCTACATTCGGTTGTTTATTCTATAATACAAAGGACCACCCCCTCCTTCCGCTTCACGGGTGTAGATAATTACGATCAATTGTATAATGCATGAAATGAGGGCATATAATATCATGGGAGACCCGTATCATATCAATGGTAAACATTAATCCCAAATGATACAGCTAGATTCTCTGTAATAGACCAATTTATCTGAACCCACGTTACTCACCATGTAATCCGCCATGTTGAAAACTCTCCTATAGTAGGAAACCATGAATCAGTGCGTGCCTGGCCTTCGTTTGCGCAGCATTGTGGGAAGGCCAGGGAAACAGGCTATAATATCTCTTGAATTTTAATAATTATATATTATTTTTTTATTAAAATAGATAGATATTGAAAAGATCTTTACAAAGACACCAAGAAAAACTATTTATATTAATAAATTACGGCCACAGTAGACCGGAAATACCCTAAAATTAACAAAATCGGAGAATAATAAGTATTTAGATACTATGTAGCTCAGGCAATTTTAAAGATATTAATATATATTTGGTGTCAAAATATTAGTAAATTTATGTTCTTTAATTTAAAACTAAAAAAAATAAATTATTACACGAGAAATTTATTATTAATGACAAAAATATAACCCACCCCCCTTTTTTTTCAAAATATTGACTCGCTCTAATTCCTTAAGTATTTGAGATAGAGCTTCGGCAATATTTTCATTTAAAAGAGCATCAAATTCTAAGTCGGAATAGACTTTTATTTTAATTTTATACCTTTAAAGGAAGAGGAAAAAGGATATTAATTTTTTTGAATAATTAATTATAGAAATAAAAGGAGGGGGTATGGTCAGGGTTCCGCTTCCTGTGGCTTTAAAAATGCCGCTATCAACACATTTTTTATCAATAATTGTTGCTGAATAATTATTCCACAAAATAAAAATATATTTGAAAGGTTTCCGAAGCACTCCTCAGCGAGAAAGTAGGTTTTATTTAATTAATTAAGAAAATTCGTTAATCGCGCTCTAGCGGATGATACGGCGGGTTCGGTTTTTCGCTCCTAGGACCTATACGGAATGAGATAGAGATGTGGAAATTATTTTATCGTAAAGAGCATTAAATTCCAAGCAGGAATAAATATTTTTTATCTTTATTAACTCGCCTTAGAAGAGCTGACAAGCGAAAGAGCAATAAATGATAATAAAAAACGCAGGGGGTAAGGTTGGTATTTCGGCCACTGGCCTTTATAAAATAGCGGTTTACACACAATTTATATCTCAAAATGTTGCTGAATAATTGTTCTACAAGATAAAAATATATTTCAAAGGTTTCCGAAGTTCTCCTGGTCGAGAAAATAGGTTTTATTTAATTATTTTTGGAATTTCGTAAATCGCGCTCTAACGGATGATACGACGGGTTCGGTTTTTCGCTTCTACGTCCTTAACGGTATAAGATTGAGATGTGAAAATAATTTTATCGTAAAGAGCATTAAATTTCAAGCAGGAATAAATATTTTTTATCTTTATTAAATCGCCTTAAAAGAACTGACAAGCGAAAGAGCAAAAAATGATAATAAAATACGGAAAGGGGTAGGGTTGGTATTTCGGCCACTGGCCTTTAAAAAATGCCGCTATACACACGATTTATATCTCAAAATGTTGCTGAATAATTGTTCTACAAGATAAAAATATATTTCAAAGGTTTTCAAAGCTCTCCTGGTCGAGAAAATAGGTTTTATTTAATTATTTCTGGAATTTCGTAAATCGGGCTCTAGCGGACGATACGGCGGGTTCGGTTTTTCACTTCTAGGTCCTTAACGGTATAAGATAGAGATGTGAAAATACTTTTATCGTAAAGAACATTAAATTTCAAGCAGGAATAAATATTTTTAATCTTTATTAGTTCGCCTTAGAAGAACTGACAAGCGAAAGAGCAATAAATGATAAGAAAATACGGCAGGGGGTAGGGTTGGTATTTCGGCCACTGGCCTTTAAAAAATGCCGCTATACACACGATTTATATCTCAAAATGTTGCTGAATAATTGTTCTACAAGATGAAAATATAATTTAAAGGTTTCCGAAGCTCTCCTGGTCGAGAAATTACGTTTTATTTAATTATTTAGCTAAATTCGTAAATCGCGCTCTAGCGGAGGCTTATGGGGGTTCGGTTTTTCGCTTCTAGGTCCTATAGGGAATCAGATAGAGATGTGAAAATAATTTTATCGTAAAGAGCATTAAATTGCAAGCAGGATTAAATATTTTTAATCTTTAATAGATCGCCTTAGAAGAACTGACAAGCGAAAGAGCAATGAATGATAATAAAATACGGTAGGGGGTAGGGTTGGTATTTCGGCCACTGGCCTTTTAAAAATGCCGCTATACACACGTTTTATATCTAAAAATGTTGCTGAATAATTGTTCTACAAGATAAAAATATATTTCAAAGGTTTCCGAAGCTCTCCTGGTCGAGAAATTACGTTTTATTTAATTATTTAGCTAAATTCGTAAATCGCGCTCTAGCGGAGGCTTATGGGGGTTCGGTTTTTCGCTTCTAGGTCCTATACAGAATCAGACAGAGATGTGAAAATAATTTTATAGATATACTTTACATATGATGTTCATCTTAAAAAGCAGAAATTGATTATACAAAAGATAATATAAAATCTTTATTTAAAGGGAGGTTTAGACCCTATGAGCATTTTTTAGAGTGTGAGAAAAAATTCTAAGTCCAATTTCAGAGTTTTAGGGGCATAAAAATCTTAAAAGATATCTTATGATAAAAGTGATTACATATTCTTCCTCGTCACATTGAGACAAAGAAAATGATATAAGGCACATTAAGATAGCTCCGCAAATAAAAATTTCATCCCCAAAAAGGAATTATTTCAATGTGGAAATTAAGGTCACAAGAAGTTCCTTAAAATTAAAAAGGTTTTAGGGGTCAATTTTTTTGTTTGTTATCCTATATTGATGTTCTATATATCATTTTTTTTGTCTTTTCAAGACGAGAAAGAATATGTAATCAGATTTTCTGTAGAGTATATAATAAAAATTTCAGCCCTTTAACTCCTTTAATTTGGACTTAGAAAATTTTCAGTGCGCTATTGAAAATGCTTTTTGGGGCTGATTTCTATAATTTTCCAACTATATAGATATACTTTACATATGATGTTCATCTTAAAAAGCAGAAATTGATTATACAAAAGATAATATAAAATCTTTATTTAAAGGGAGGTTTAGACCCTATGAGCATTTTTTAGAGTGTGAGAAAAAATTCTAAGTCCAATTTCAGAGTTTTAGGGGCATAAAAATCTTAAAAGATGTCTTATGATAAAAGTGATTACATATTCTTCCTCGTCACATTGAGACAAAGAAAATGATATAAGGCACATTAAGATAGCTAAACAAATAAAAATTTCATCCCCAAAAAGGAATTATTTCAATGTGGAAATTAAGGTCACAAGAAGTTCCTTAAAATTAAAAAGGTTTTAGGGGTCAATTTTTTTGTTTGTTATCCTATATTGATGTTCTATATATCATTTTTTTGTCTTTTCAAGACGAGAAAGAATATGTAATCAGATTTTCTGTAGAGTATATAATAAAAATTTCAGCCCCTTAACTCCTTTAATTTGGACTTAGAAAATTTTCAGTGCGCTATTGAAAATGCTTTTTGGGGCTGATTTCTATAATTTTCCAACTATATAGATATACTTTACATATGATGTTCATCTTAAAAAGCAGAAATTGATTATACAAAAGATAATATAAAAATCTTTATTTAAAGGGAGGTTTAGACCCTATGAGCATTTTTTAGAGTGTGAAAAAAAATTCTAAGTCCAATTTCAGAGTTTTAGGGGCATAAAAATCTTAAAAGATGTCTTATGATAAAAGTGATTACATATTCTTCCTCGTCACATTGAGACAAAGAAAATGATATAAGGCACATTAAGTTAGCTCCACAAATAAAAATTTCATCCCTAAAAAGGAATTATTTCAATGTGGAAATTAAGGTCACAAGAAGTTCCTTAAAATTAAAAAGGTTTTAGGGGTCAATTTTTTTGTTTGTTATCCTATATTGATGTTCTATATATCATTTTTTTTGTTTTTTCAAGACGAGAAAGAATATGTAATCAGATTTTCTGTAGAGTATATAATAAAAATTTCAGCCCCTAAACTCCTTTAATTTGGACTTAGAAAATTTCTTTAAGTCCAAATAACTTTAGACTAATTTTTGGTGTTAGATCCGTTATGACGTCATAATCAATTTCAACTTTCTTTTTCCCGTACTTTACGGCTTAAGCAGAATTATGTAGAAAAAAGGGTATTTTTATGACTTGAATTTGAAATCATATGAAAAGTAAACCGGATACCTATATAAAACTTGATATTGATTTAAAGAAGAGGCCACGAACATACTAATTACCACTTTCTGAGAGACAGACTTTAGGCAATCTGGATACATTTCCTTTGTCGAATATGAAAAAACTCCCATATTAATGACTGGTTTTCTTGATTTTTCGTTGAAAATGACATTTTGAGTAATCCTCGAACAGTAAATCAAAACTTAGAGCGATGCACTATTCTGATGGATATTGCCTTGAGATGTCCACTGTATAGGAGAAATTTTACTGCGAACAAATTCCCGTGAACCATTTCTCATTATTGCCTGTGAGTATAGATGTAGTTGTACATGTGTTATTGCAGATAATATTTACTTTTCTCTGCATGAATGTAATGCTTACATGTGAGGGGGTGATTAAAAATTTATCTCTATATTTACGTCGGTAGTCCAGTGTGGCGTCGGTAGTCCAGTGGTTAAGGTGCCGGAATCCAAACCGAAAGGTTGTGAGTTCGAATCCTGGCCACAACAAGCCGACGTTATGTCCCAAACTCCATACAGTGTCGATTCTCCGGGACTACTTTCCCTACGAATAACGCCACTGCCACAGGCTTTCCAAACTTTTTCCAAAATGCCATCAATAATGATGAGAATATTCGAGAAAATAAAGAGCTTTGTAATTCGAGACTGAGCTCAATGAAAACTAAAAATTCTGTGATGACGGGGCTGAGGAAACATTGATGTGATAAAAGGTAAAGTTTGAATACTGTATAAGACGAGACAATTTCTGTAAATGAGTAACACATGTCCGTCGTTATGATAACCATTTAGACCATGAGTTCTCCCAGTCCCAATTTACAGGTCCAGAAAAATCACTATATTTAGCTATATAGCTAAATCTAC